TGTTTTTGACACATCTTCATTCCGAATTTTCAATTGATGATAACCGAACCGTGAATCAATCTTTGAAAAATAAGTAGCCCCAACCAATTGATCAAACAAATCATCAATTCTTGGGAGAGGATACTTATTCTTGATTGTCAGTTTATTCAACTCCCGGTAATCAATGCACATCCTCATTGATCCATCCTTCTTTTTCACAAAAAGTACCAGCGCACCCCGCGGGGAAGTATTGGGTCGGATAAAACCTTTATCCAAAAATTCTTTTAATTGAGACATTAACTCCTTTAACTCAGAAGGAGCTAATCTATATGGTGCACGCGCAACAGGTGTTGCTCCAGGAATTAATTCAATCTGAAATTCTATCATTCGGTCTGGAGGTAGATTTATCAAATATTCTGGAAATACTTCAGGAAATTCCCTTACGACTGGAATGTCTTCCATTTTTCCCATCTCTTTCTTCATATCTATAGCATATGCAAGAAAACTAACACATCCCTTCTGTACATACTTCCTAGCCCTTAGAACTGAAATTAGGCTAGAGTAACGATCCCGCTTATCTCCATAAATCACAACTCTTCCTTTCTCAGGTAAGTCTATATAAATCATCTTCTCATTACAGACTATGTTAGCTTGATTTTYAGCTAACCAATCCATGCCTACAATTATATCAAATTCCCTCAAAGGTAAAGGAAATAACTGTATAGGCACCTCGCATCCTTCTATACTTATAACACACTCAGCAATTCTTTCCTTAACCAAAACTTCACTATCATTTGCTGTTTCCACAATTAGATCTTCACTTAATGCTTTAAATTCTAAATGTGCACAATTAACAAATGATGGTGACACAAAAGAACAATTTGCACCCGAATCAAATAAAACTTTGGCACATACTGAATTAACGAGGAATGTACCTGTTACCACTTTAGGGTGCTCTTCCGCCTCGCCTCTCGTCATCTGAAAAGCTCTCCCTTTTGCATCAGACTCTGCCTGTCTTATCCCTCCCCGTCCAATTGCACTAACACGATTATCCATTTGCCCACGACCTATTGGCACATACCCAGCTCCTCGATCCCCAGAATATCCAGATCCCCGACCTCCAGCAAAACCAAACCCTCGACTCTTTACTTACGGACAATCAGCATTTACATGTTGAGATGAATTACAAGTAAAACACCTCTGCGTCATCCGACAGTCTCGGGCTATATGTCCTGGTTCCTGACATTTAAAGCATACTCGAGATTCT